TCTCTCTCTCTCTCTCTCTCTCTCTCTCTCTCTCTCGTTATTTCTTCATATATAGGGTTTGGTCAAATACTTCTTCATAATAAAGAGACGAAATAGGGTTTGGTCAAATACTTCTTCATAATAAAGAGACGAAATAGGGTTTGGTCAAATACTTCTTCATAATAAAGAGACAAATGGAAAGAAAGATCTCAAGGATGTCTCCGCTAGAGAGAATTCAATAATGTTTACGCTAGTGAGATACTCACTCTTTAAGATGCTCCCGATAAGGAAATCTGCAAGCTGCCTGATCTTCTCGGATTCATCCACCAGAGCAAAAAGAAACCGATGGAATAGCACACCTCTCCACTTCACATAGTCTCTCTGTATCAAACTCCAGAAAACCATGTCTGAGAATATTCTAGGAAAACAGCCTGTTTTTTTCTTTTACTTGTAACTAGGCAGCACTTTTCAAAAGAGCTACAAAAATCCAAATGTTGTAATAGACAAAGCCAAAACATATTTTAAATTTCATTAAAATTGATAAAAATAAAACCAATATCCACTTACATACTCATAAAAGCAAAAAAATGGGAACTCCTGGCATGTCAAACAATTTTCAGCAATTGGTAACCAGAAACTTGCGAAAAAACAACATATAAAAAATAGTTGGCACCATGAATTATGAAGTTAAAACAGTAGTTTTGCTATCTTTGAGATCTCTGAAGCAGTTTATCAGAGTGCTCAGGGTAAATTTACCATCAATTCATGGGCACTAACTAACAAGTGTTTGGAAATCATCATGTTTTGTCATTTTTCAGGTGCACACACTTGATCCCTTTCTTCATAACCTCTTCCCATTGCTTTGCTAAACCAGGGTAGTGAGAGTTCAGACCTGTAGCAGCCTGGAGAGCAGAATGAATGTCTGCCTTCTGACTACTTCACATGGGTCACACAAAGATTTCGTGATCTTGGCAATATAGCTGAAAAAGAAATATAACCTCTTGCAATTACAGTCACATAATTCTTCAAGATTACACAAAAGAAATATTAGATAAATATTTGATTGAATAAATATTACATAATATGTCAAAAATTCGACTGAAGAAAAGGAGGAAATTTAAGGAAGGTGAACCAAAGAAAGCTCATTACTTCTCAAGAATTCAACGATTGTGGACTTGCATGTAATTATAAAAAATATAGTCCCCATTGTTAAGAATTTATCAAAATTGTCCATTTTGAACTTGAACTATTTTCATTAAAAGTTAACCTCAACTTACTTTCAAATTGGACATGGAGTGGAAACCAAAATTAAATCAGGGCGCATTTGATAGTGTGGAAAGAGCAATGCTTCATTGCACTTTCCGCACTTCAAGATACTTCCCCCTTTGATTACCGGGGGAATATCCTAAGCTCCACCACTACAGTGAACCACTTTCTTTAAAAACCAAGGGAAGTGACGCTCCAAGGACACTGCAGTAAATGGTAAACACGTGGTGGTTGGGCCAGTTAAAGCGGTAAATGGGGAGCTGCGGTAACTGGTGCTCACCAAAATTGCCTCAAATATGCCCTTGGAGTTGGCCAAAATTTTAATGAATTATAGGAATTTCCAATCTGTACTCAGTTTTGTAATCCTCACCAATCAACTAGTGCAGTGTATCGAACACAAAAGTCAGTCATTACCACCATGATATTGTTCCGGAGAGGAGCAGAGTTACTCTTTTCAAGCTCCTAAAGCACAACCACACCAACCAGTCAAATACGGAAGAAAGATGACAGACTTCCTCCAATTAAAAAAAGCAGAGACAGTAAGAACCGACAAAGATTTCTGTGTGTGTGTGGGCACACTTGTGTGTTTGTGTCTGTGTGCATGTGTGTGTGCGTGATAGAGAGAGATAGGCTATTCTGCAATTAGGACATTTGAAAAAAGTGTGATTGATTATGTAATCCTCTTCAAACCACTGCTAGAAAAGTTATTTTCAAAGTCAGTGCTGTTTAAGCAATTGTACATTTTTCCTTGAATTGCAAGAGGAGTGACAGAAAAGTTCAATTCTTGTATGATACCTTTTTTGTTTGATAAAAAGTTAGTTCTTTTATCATACCTGCACAAACAAAGGTATGTATCTCTTGGCCAGCTTGTCATCCACAAGGCATATCTTTCCCAGTGTGACCCATGACTGAATGTAGAAAGATGAAGAGAAATTCTTTGCTGAAACACTAACCAAACCAGTAATCTCTTTAGATTTTGGTTTCAAGCTTCCAGAAGTTATCACAGTTTGAAGCAGGGGAATGAATCCCTTCAAATTAGTGGATGGACAAACCAGGACCAGGGAACCCAAAGTAAAAATGGCTGTTACAGCTTGTACAGATGGATTCAGAGCTCCCATTTTTGTCTTCCCCTTGGCTTTCTTCTTCCTGCTTCCACTTCTAGCTGGGGTTTGAAAGCGATCTAAGTTGCCCATTTCAGAGACCTCAGTTACATAATCATCAAGAATTTGCAGAGCCTTGGAGAGCACCTGGTCTACCCACTTCGATATTAACTGGTCACCCTTCTCATGGATGGCCTTCCTTTGGCATAATGTTTTAAGAGCTTGTACATGAGCATCAACCTGTTCATGAAACATAAATGAATTATGTTCATGATACATAAAATAGCCTAACCACATTTCAGCCCTCTGAGTGTGTGCGTGAGAGAGAGAGAGAGAGAGAGAGAGCAAACAATGGAACACTTTGGAGCATAAGTTACAATAAACAGTTTTATGATTCGATGAGCCTGAGTTCACTTTCCAAGTAAAAGAAAAAAGGAAAAGAAATTACGCCATGATGCATTGAAGTTTGTAACAGCAAACGTGTGAATTACACATCATATCAACCATCTGTGATTTGAGTTGATTGTACTTTGCTATTCATAAATTCCAAGCATCATCTACACAATCCCAAAGGAACAAGCTTAAACTTGCCGCCTAGAATGCAACTTTCCACGGGATAATAACAAAGTAAATGACAGGGAATTAGGCTTCAATCAGAATCAATCCATACCTCTGAACCTAATATTCCTAAGTTACTTGTCGCATAACTCATGTGCATTATGATCTCTCCTAAATTTTAAATGCGTCAACTAGAAATGTTATTACAATGTTGTGATACACCTAGTAGTGCCTTCTACAACTCAATACTTTGTACACAGTGCTGTGAATAGTAACTGAAAACTTCTCTTAATAATCCCCTTTCATTTCCTTTCATATTGAAATTAAAATGTGATAAACTTGATGACACCATTCACTTTTTAAGGCTAGAAGGCAATAGTTCAGCAGTAGTTCATACGTTTCACACTTTCAGAAATATCAAAGCCATTAATTAGATTCGTACACAATGAGTATGACAAAGTATCTGTATGATTTTACCTGACCCCAGCCATTGGATGTTAATGGCAGATGGCTGCAGTTTTTTGTTCCTCGGCTCAAACTCTATCAATTTTTTTGATGGACATTGATTGGAGGAAGCACATCCCTCATAGACATCTAAACTGGGGTAATGTGAAATTTCCTACATAAACTATAGGAAATTTCACCTTGCTCACTGAATGCATCTTCTTAATTAATTGAGCTAAGCATATTAGGCGTAACAAAATGATAAAGGAATAATTCTCTTTCTGGAAAGGATGTAAAAAAATGATTCTTAATTGCAACAAACATGCTTTATTTTCAGAACCTCTTCTATTTGCAAGTTGATTCCCAAACACAACTAGAGTCCTGATAGTGTTCAGAAGTTCACTATGTCCATTACCTAGTAACACATTAAAACAACCGATAATACCACATTGACAGTACGCATCAAGCAAAGATAGAAAGAAACCCTAGTAATATTCTGACTCAGCCTGGTCTCAATTCAACATTATAAAATACAAGTCAAGTCAAAGGTTTTACAAAAGAAACTTTTCTAAGAAAATAGAAGAATTTAAAAATGAGGGGTCAAGAAACCATCGAACCATAAAGACTCAGCCAAGACTCATGAACTCGTGCAACTCTTGACATAAACCAAGCAAGTCAAAACCAAATCTTGAAGCTTCTTTCTCTAAAAAAACCTGACATAGTCAAGTCAACTACGCCCATGTTTTAAAACCACGATTCTAGCTTACCTCTGTAGGGTGCATGTTAAAGGCCATAAGCCTCGCTAACAAGCTCTCAGCAAGCTCGGCAGCACCAACAGGCGGCAGTTCTTTCGCAACATTGGAGATAGTCTTCAACAAGTGGACCCGATCTTCTGCCCAAGCAACTGATACAGCGTCCTGTTCATCCTGACCCTCCAATTCTTGCCATGCAAAAGGACTACCAATTTCTTTCTCAGTCGTATTCCTATCCAAGAGTTGCCAGTGATGGTTAAGGAACTTCCACCCCACAAATTTTGGAAGAAACACTGAAACCTCAGAGAGGAGGTACCAAGCACCTGGAGGTGCAGTCCATTTCTCTATTGCCATAGAGTGGTTCACCCAAATTGACTCAGAGCTGGTTATGATATTTTGGAGAGAGAGAGCTAGTCCGGACCTTAGCCGCCCTTTCTTGCCAAGGCTCGCACATATGCGCTTAACACAGGGGGCTACCTCTCCATTGCAAATCATTTTAAGCAAGTCTAGGATACCTTCAGGGAAGACCATCTCAAGCTCTTTCTCTATTACAGCTTTCGAGGCCTTAGGGATATGATGCTTTGGTTTGTTGTTGCTTGAGCTTGCTGATGCAACCCTGCTGATATGATCTAAGACCAGTTCTAGAAAGAGGGTCTCACATTCGTCTTGGACGCTCGACTCATTATCAGTGATCAGTTGGGGAACGGAGTGTAGCCACTCTTTCACCACTCTCTTCTCAGGGAATTTCCGGAAAACCTGAAAAAGACCAAGGGTGGAATTCCCAAAGAAACAAATTTAAAAAAGTAATTTCCGGATAACCTGCACAGCCATGGTTGGGACTGAACTGACTTTCTAGTAAAAAATATTAAATGTTTGAAATTTAAAAAAATTGGAAAAACTATCTGACGCATTTGGACAGAAATACATTGGGCTCCAAGGCATGCTAGTTGTTAGAATGACATATATAAGGTTTCATGTTTCTTCATTCACTTTCTCATAGTGCAAAAGAACATTGAAGTATGTTAGACCTATAATAGGGTAGAGTCATTGAGATCAGTGATGGGCAATGGATGAGACATTGAGACTACTAAAGCCACTATGTATATGATCCTGACAATAGTAGCAAGCACATTGCCCAAGACAAGTTTGTCGAAAAACAATCTATATTTTCAATGAGAAGGCTTGGAGCATTCTACTACTACAGGGAACAATGTCATAGCACATCCAACGCAAGAAAGAGACAAAGTAGATGCATATTTGAGAAAACAACTAAAGTGTTGTTGTATTTAATGAAAGCCGTACAAAATGCTATGAAGTCTTTCCTCTAGTATATTCGTCAAGGCTTATTGGCATTCAAATTCCATGAAGTGTGGTGTTCATGAGAATGTGGACAAGCAAACCCAATGATATTAACATCCAAATTCCTTTATGAGGAAACTTCTTTGGAAAATTTAGCATTAGGTTGGAAACTCAAGTTAGAGAGTTGGGGTTTTAAAGTAAACCATTCAATCCTTGGTCTTCCATACACCAAGCTGACTTTCATTGTCAACAAGAAGATATATTAGCTTACAAATCTCAAGTATATCACATCTTGCACAAGAAAAACAAATAGATCTCACTTTGAGAAATTTATTTGAAGTCCAAATGAGGAAGCTAACATTTTAAAGGATAGTTGTTATTTTGCCGTTTCATACAGCTCTATGCCTGTATGAAAATGCATTAGAGAAGCTAGAGAAGCTCTTGAATACTTTGTCAAGAACGAGACATGGTACCTAGTCTCACTATCAAAAGAGCAGTAAAGATGTCATTATCAGTAGAATGCTAGCGTAATATTAACTCCTTTGTCACGCAAAATGAATTGATTGGGACAAATTGATAACTACCGATCAATTTGGTGATATTCTACATACCAAGCAAAAACACAAATACTGTGTTCATGAAAATAATTAGGTGTTCACGGAAATAATGAGGTGAAAAATTGAAAGGACACATAAAGAAGAATAAAGGAACAAATTACCTCTGATAAAGCAGAGAGAGCAGCCTTTCTGATGCTAACAAGGGGGTCTGAGCAAGCAACTCCTATGGTTTTCAAAGTGACATCATCTGGTATTCTACCAAGTAGAGAAGTAGATTTTGTAATAAGAAACAAAGCAGCCTTTCTCACAGCTGCCTTCTCATCCACACACCTCCTCCTCAACAAAACATTCAAATCCTCACAACCCACCCCAGGTGTTATTGGTGTAGGCCCTGGCCCCGAAAATGGAGAAGGCCTAAGATCCCCAAAAAGTAAGCCAGCATTCCTCGCTTCCGCCTCCAAACCTTCTTCCGTCTCTTGCTTCTCTTGCAAATTGTTAGGCCTACCCATCCCGCCAAACCCCAACAGTTCTTGCAATCTCGATCTATTCCTTATATCACTCGCTAGCAGTTCAATGGCATTGGCCATATTAGTCAAAGCCCTGGCCCTTATACCCGCTACCTTATCTGAGCATCGATGCAAAAGTGCTTCAAGGCATCTTAAACCCCAAAAATTTTGATCCTCTTTCAAGCCCAAAGGATCAGGTAATGACCCAAGAAGAGAGGGAATCAAGTCCATGGCAATCATTCGAAGCCGAGGCTTACCTTGAGTCATCTTCATGACAAACCCAGCAAAACCCATCTGCTCACTTGTGTTCATTGCTTTGATTATTGCTATTATAGACTCCACAGCCAAAGCTCGAGGCTCAGTTTTTTCAGGGGCCTTCATTGCTAAGTACCTTGGCAAAGATATGAGGGCCTTTCGAATTAAATCAGATTCCGTGGGTATCACCTTATTGATGACAAATCTAAGTGCAGAGACTCGAACTTGAGATTTTTGGCATAGGATTGAGCGAGCGAGCATTTTGAAGATTTCAACAGATGTTAAAGTGCGATCCCCATTCTCTTGTATCAAGACCCTTTCCATAATTTTGTAGCACAATCGACATAGAGATTCATAAGGTGGTGGAGAAGGTACCGATGAAGAAACTACTTTTCTACTTTTGCCACCCCTGGTTGCTGCATTCTCCTCAGTAAAACCATTGAAATCACAGGCCAACATAGGTAGCTCTGATACAACTTCAATCAAGTACTTTAGACTATCAAAATAGCCATCTAATCGCAGATTATGCATAACTAAATCTAGGTTCTCTAGCACAGAGATCAAAATGTTGGCATCAAAACCTTGTGGATTTCCATCTTTTTCCTGAGATTCGGGTTCTAGAGCTTCATCTTCTTCGGAGTCATTGATTCTTTTTGCATTTTTGGTCTTTCTTCTCAATTGGGTCTTTTTTGAATTGGGTTTTGAGGGAAAACGCTGAGAGCTTTGCTTGAGCGAATTTCGAATTGACCGGAGAAGAGAGTGAAAGGCGACAGGATTGAACAGTGTATATAAAGGAGAACCATCGGAAAGAAGAATAGTGAGATAGAGATTTGAGGCTAAAAGACCGATTGTACCTGGTGATTCCATTGTTGTTGAAAGCGACCGAACCAGAGAGGCCAGAGAAATGTTCCGAGACACCACTTCTTCCCATAGAGATGCTTCTGATGTTGAAAAAATCGCCTGCAAGTCCTGAATATGGTTCTTCGAAATGGGTCCACGTTGCCCATTTTCTCCCTCTTGGGGCTGATCATTTTCGATTTCAGAGAGTGTGATTAGGAGTGACTCCATGGATGAGGTTGTTGCCAAATTGTTTTCGATAGAGAGAAGGGAAAGGGAAGCTATGTTTGGTGAGAAAGAATAGAACCATGTGTCTCTTGGAGTGTGATCAGAGAGACTCCATTAGTGGGTTTAGGATCAAAATAGAACTTGGAGAGAGAGAGTGACGATGACATGAGGGCTTGAAAACTTCGAAATGCGATCTTTCCCGCTCTTGACCTGTCCCCGTTCACTTTTAGCCAAAAGAGAGTCTACACCCTCGGGAGAAGAATGTTCGTTTGCATGGATAAAACCCCACGTGCAATTAATTTTGAGGACCGCAATTTTTTGAGATGTAAGGTCTTCAATCTATAGATTGATCTCAATAAATAAAATTTAAATATGCCCCCTATGCACTTGAAAAAAAATAATACTATGCGATTGAATAATGACCACCAAATTTTTAGATGGTGAGATCTAAGTGTAAATTTCAAATTTTATTTTTGAGATAATTATCTAGTAATTTTTAATTGATTTCCACAATTTTAGATTGAGAAAATCCTCCCAAGTAGGTCTTTGGACCGACGGAGTAGAAGTAAACTATGCTATAGAAGTAAGGTGCCACTCAAAAATCCAAGAAAAAAAAAACATTCCAAATGATCCAATTGATCCAAAACCTCGAGTATATGGATATAAAGAGAAAAAAAAATTCAAGTCCCAAAAACATTGCATCTTGTAAAAAGTTATTTGGACTGTATATTTTCAAGATTTTCAAAGGTTTATAGATTTGCTTGATGTATACCGTCTTTTACCTCGAGAATATGGATATGAATAAACAAAAATATTCAAGTCTTAAAATCAATGCATTTTGTAATAAGTTATTTGAATTATCTATTTTCAATATTTTTAAATGTTTATAGATTTGTTTGCTCTATATTGTATTTAAAACTTTAAATTTCATAATTACGATTGAACATAAATTTTCAAAACCATATAAGGTGTTTCAGAGCTACATCTTCTAACATAATTTATAAGTGCACCTTATTTGTGAAGAATAAAATATGCACCTTATGTAAACCTCACGCTTTAGATAAAAGACCTCGGCCTCGTGAAAATATAGTGAGTACTTCAAGGACCAACTTGGAAATGGTTGTCAAGGCATTAGCAAACTGCTATTTGGGTCCCTCGGTACACAAAACCTACATACGCCTTAAAACGTGGGTATGCAAATTCCAGCATATGTAAAATTTTGTAAGGACGTCACGCGACTACATTATGAAGTTTTGAGTTTATCATTACTATAGGTAGGGAATCCCATCCCCACTATAATATATATAT